ACTACACTGAATAGGCATCTCTAAAAATTGAACGTAAGCCATCTCTTATAAAGTGCAGCTGGGGTGTTTTTAATGAAAAAGGGGCTATCAAATTTATGTGTAATACACAAAATGGTTACTAAATTATTTTTCCGTTCTCCTTTCTAAACTTATGTAAAAAATATCTGAAGAGATGTACACGGAATACTTCACTGTTCGGGAGACTTTTAATTTGTGCCAAGGTTCGCCTATGCATAAATAACATACAAGTGCAGGATTGACAGTTAATATGGCAGATCTAGACAATGAACTTACATAGTTCAATATAAAAATCTTACTCTGAAAGGCTGTGTTATAGAGTCAGAGCTACAGTTTTGATTTGTATGAGGGATGCTCCCACTTCACTCTTCAGATATAAATTACAAGTACTTTGTTTCAAAAAGAAAAAGAAAAAAGAGGAAATGCATCCAAATAAATCCTGAATTTAGAAACATATTCAATCCAAGGAAGCTCGAAGAGTAGCAAAAATAAAACTGGTTTGGTCTTAAAGCAGCCTCATAAACACCATATTTTGGTATTTCCAGAGAGATGCTGTTATTAGGGCTGCTTAGAGGGGTGCTTTCATCCTGTGGTTCTGGGTAGCCATCCTAGACAGCCACTAACCTCTAGGTAAGTTCAGGCAATCAACATCCCCATTCTCCCCTCCAGTGAACTCTACAGAGGGGTAGGGTAGTGGTTTTATCCAGACCTGTGTGAATGAACTCCTCATAGGGTCTAAATTTACTAGCGCATCCCCAGCCTTCCATGTCTCTTCTTGCTCTGTCACTATAGTTTTCAGTACAAATGGATAGCTCTCAAATAAAAAATGTTCTACCTGCAATTCCTAAAATTCTGTATTCAATCATTGTAGTTCACCTCATGTCGTTGATAAGTAAATCATAAAAGTGTGCTTGGTTACCACCTGTATTCCAGAGAATTTAAAAAATCCATTCCGTTGAGTGTATCACGGAGAAAAGTGGATGGCAAAAAGATGATAGGGTTAAGCTAGCTTCTACACTATAAAAAGTAATCAAGATATGGAATGATTTCTTTATTTTTCTTTAAACTTTCATACTTAAAGCATGACTGTTATCATTCCCAAAAGCACCCAGCACAGAACTTGTAATACACTGGCTAGATACGTGACATTATATCTGCATTAACACTTCCTATTCTGGAATGCATTCGTATTCGATTGACTCAGAGTTACACACAATTTTTAAAAAGACCATGATTTTATTTGGCACAGATTAAAAACATTACATATCCCCCATGTCCCTATAATTTATTCATTATTTTATGGCCCCAATTTTTATCAGAAGGACCGTAAATAAATTTACTCATTCAACAAATACTTATTGAGAGCCTCCTATAAGTTAGATATTGTGTTAAAAGCTGGAATTTAACAGTGAGCAATGCAGGCAGATTTCCCTACCTTCATAAGTTTCCAGTCTACGACAGGAAGAAAATCCACAATTACACACGTCATTCAGTTAGAAGATCAAGAGCATACATTCTTCCATCTAAGACTGGCCTAATTTACGTCTGCTTTCAAAAGGTGGAAGACATTCAATGAAAAAGGTTTGTTACAGCTTCCTATTTGATGATTAAGATCTGAAGAGTAAAGGCTTCAAAAACATGTAAAATCAGAACAGGTACATAGGATAAAAAAGTATCTTCACGGAATTGAAAAAATTTCAGCATGAGAATCTGTGACTGGAAGGCATTCAAAGCCACTTGTTTTATACAGACTAAAAGACTAATGCTAAATAGTGTGCTCTATATAACACCAATATAAATATTTAGCTAATATTCACAAATATTAATGAATTAAAGGAAATACAATGTTCTTTATACCTAGAAAGTATACAAAAATTTCAACCAAGTTTATTAATAAAGTGTCCTCTTTCATATATATGTAAAATACAAAGTTTCCCTTGATGTGTCAAAGAAAATAAGCACTGATATAAATCAATTCAGAAGATGAATAAGTTAAAAGAAACAAGAATTCATCATTAAATATGATATTTTATGGTGATAGGTTTCTGGGTTCATTTTTTAAAAAGAATAAAAATCAAAATACATATGTACTGTAAAATATGGAACACATTGGCACAAATGCTGAATATGAATCAAAATAGCCCAAATTTTACTGCCATATTTTCATCTAGCCAGATAAGCACTATTTTCCATTTCTAATTTCTCCATATTATTAATATAAAATTAAATAATTATGTGGACAAATGAAGGGTCCCCTGCCAAATAAATCCATTAAAATGGCATCACGCCTTGAACTAAATTTACTTTGAGAAGAAGTTTATCTGGAATTTCATTTAAATATAAGGATAATTCCTCAATTTTAACAGTTAAAAATATTGGTGAATCGTTAAACCATGAAAGGATACATACTTTAACCTCCTTTGGACAGGTGTCACTCAAATGAATGAAGGTACCAGGAGACTCATGTAAGCAGCACATCAGGAGTTACTCAAAGGAACCCCTCCCCAACACCTTCCCTGATTCAAATCGGCCATCATTTCTCTCCTGCACTCAAAAAAATCATGAAACTGCCCATACACACAAATCTACATTTAGTATATATAATTTACTATATAAATAGCATAGGTATTGCAGTAGTTATGTTACAAAAGCAACATACTTAGAACATGAAGCAGTAGCAAATCTTACATGATGTCTAGGCATCATATTTCTAACAGCAAGTTGTATCATTTTTAAATGTTACAAATGAATGTAGGTGCCAAATGAAAGTCATATTTTTCTACCACTTCTAAGAGGCCATATTTGGGGACTGGGGTGGGGCTGTATTAAACCCTACTCAACTCTCTAATAAGGAAAAAAAATTATCCACACTACCACCACTTTAGCAGTAAAATTGTTTTACTTTAATTTTTTTTTCATAGAATTATCTCCAAGTTCATTTTTTGAAGCACAATATGTTATCTAAATACACAGTATATAATTAAGCATCCATATATGTGTATTTCCTCAAAAGTCCTCCTCCTAGACATTGAAACCTAGGCCCTCAAATAGATGAACCCCCTGGGCTCTAACTCATAGCTGCTAGGAACCCAGGGCTGTCACATTTCAAGTAATAGGGTTGGCTCGAGAGACCTCAAACACCCGATTCCCAGCTAAACAGAAACACATAAAGGCTGTAAACAGGGAAAAAGAAAGAGAAAAACCATTCTTAAGACTAAAACACATGCTTTCTCAAACCCCCTTAATCGTGCACTCTATGCATTTCTCTTGCTCTCTCTATTGTCTTTTCCATCATGATAATTCACAAAACATTCAACTACATGGTTTCAGCATTAGAAGTAGCTCAAAATGAGAATAAAAATTAAAAAAAAAAAAAGATCATTTTCCCATCAGTTTACCCTCCCCTGCCTTCATTTCCTAAAGCCCACCTCTTTTATCAAGCACTTTGGTCTTCTGTTCTTTATAAAACATGTGCACATTTATCTAATCTGGTTTCAAAATGAAAACATAAAGCATTGCATGTGAATTAACCATTTGTAACTCTTTGTGATCATTATATTTTGTTCCTTCTTTGTAAATGATCCAGGTACATAAGCAGTTCAGTCCAAAAGGCAATTGATTTCTTGAACCAGGAGACTGAATGCTCAAGATAAGAAAACACATGTTTCTCAAATCCAAATTGACAATACAATATTCTTTTCTTCCAGAAATGTCTGAGAAACATATTTATTATACAAGAAAATATCCTCAACACAAGTGCAGGCATTTTTCAGGCCTGTTACTGCAAAGCTGTTTGCTCTTCCTGCCACAATAGCTCAGAGTAAGTCACACTGGCTTGTATGTGAACCCTAATGGTTGATTCTGAATAACCTCTGAGATAATAATCAACAGAATTCCTAATTGAGAACCAGCATTTTCTTGCTAACTTAGTGTTAGAGAAGAATGTTGAGCTGTTTTTTTAGAGATTAAAGGGAAATTTCTTGCTGTACACTTCCCGTTTTCCTTCCAGTCCAGATTCCAAACATATTAAAACGCTGTCCGTTTTAAACAAAAGGTTTCTATTTGTTTCCATGAGAGTAATTGAGGCTGCACTGGTTTTCAGTAGTAACTATTGTGAATTCAGGCCTACATCTGGGTTGCCTCATTAAACAAAAGATACCCGTCGCTGTCAACAACCATACAGCACAACGCTCCCCTATCCCTTGTCTTTCTCTGGAAGGGATTTTGCAGACAAGAAACACGCCTGTCACCATCCACGGGTCAAGAAACTCTTCTGGGGTCCCTCCTTTCGGTGGTCTGGTAGCTAGAGAACAGCACTTGTGTGACACATTTGGGGTTGCCTCCCTGCCCCCCCGCCCCCCCAAATACATAAGCCTCCTTTCTTTGGAGGGCCAACCACTGGGCTCTCACCATCACTCCTTATAGAAGCTAGTTGGGACTCTGCCCACCGTTCCACCATTCCCTGCTGACCCCAGAATGCACTGATAATGGATGCACACAGGCCACCCCACCGCACGCCACCCCCGTACTTGCTCTGGCTCCGCTTGCCACCCTCGGGCCACACACACACAGCTCCCCACTCCACCACCCACGGGGCGCCGCGGCCACGACACTAGAAGTTCAACCCCTCTTTCCACCTTCCCATGCCCGCGATCCCCCACCCAACCACCCACCCAAGTGATTTGCCATTTAAGCAAATGCACCGCAGATAAACGCGCACCCCGAAGGCACGGCCTTCGGGGGCCCGGGGCCGAGCAGCCCGACCCCTGTGCGTGTGTGTGTGTGTGTGTGTGTGCACGCGCGCGCGCCCGAACGGGTGCGGGAGGTGGCCAGGGGCGCGCCGGGGGAGGCTAGGGAACAGCCACGGGCGCCCCGAGACGGGGGCCGCCGGCGGCGGCTGCCCGGGGGTTCGGGGGTGGCTGGCGGGGGGCACCAAGGCCCGGGGGAAGGGCCCGCGAAGGCCGGCACCCAGCGGCACTCACCCAGCAGCAGCAGCTTGAGCTCCCGGCGAGCGTCCCGTTTGTCCCTGCGGAGCTGCCGCTCGATCTCGTCGTTGATCCGCCGGGCTTCCTTGGCCTCCTCGCTCAGGCAGCACGCCATGATGGACTCCAGAGTCATTCTTCCAAAGTGCCTCCGCTGCAGCCCCGCCGGCACCCCCTGCTCACACGCGCGCACACACACCCTCCCGCCCTCGCTCCCCCGAGGCAGCGGTGGCCGCCGAGCCCCCGCCGCCCGGGCGCGCGTCCGGGACTAGCTCGGGGAACCGCCGCGGTGGCCGCGGCCAGGGCCGGAGCCACCAGGTGGGCCGGGGGTGCGGCGGGAGCAGACGGCTGGAGCCGCCCGCAGGAGCTGCCCGCAGGAGCGAGGCGGGCGCTGGTTCGGGGGGCGCGCGAGGAAAGGCCGCCGCGCCCGGCCTTGCTCAGACGCCCGGGCTTCCTTCCCGGGGAACGGGCGGCCCGCCTCGCCCCCTGCGCGGCCGCCGCCGCCGCCGCCGCCGAGGCTCCCCTAAGCCCTGCGCCCGGCGGCGAGGGCACATCCACCGGGGCGTACCCGCAGCGAGCGGCCGCCGACGGCTCTCTGCGCCCGGCGCGCCCGCTGTTTGCCGCCGCTTGCCACG